TATATATATATATATATATATATATATATATATTCTCTATAGGCATTTGCGTGCATCGAAATAATAGCAGCAGCACGAGAGTCTTAGAGGTCTTAAGAGGAGTGCAAGGGTTCGCTTTACCTATTTATTTATTTTTTATTTACTTACTTATTTATTGTTTTATTTAAAATGACTTCTAAGTCTCAATAAAGCTTAAAACTGCGGAGTGCCGTGCAGAGATGCCTGTACACCCCGAGGTATTCATCCAAGAACCTTCCCCAGCAGCAGCAGCAACAAAAGCAGCAGCAGCAGCAGCAGCAGCAACAGAAGCAGCAGCAGCAGGAGCAGCTAAAAGAAAGAAAGGTTTGATGGCGTCTGCTGCGCCTAGCCAGCAGCGAAATATAAAAGTTGAGTTTCAACCCGACCCCAATTGTTATGAATTAACTGCAAATAAGGGTTTAGGGTTTAGGGTTTAGGGTTTAGAGGGTGATTGCAGCACCTCCTCTTCTTGCATTTCTTAAGAAGACTTCTTTAGCAAGGGTTTGAGACTGAAATGCATTATCACCCTTCGGTATACACCCCACAGCAGTTTTATTACCTGCATTTATTGAAGAGTTTTGCTGCAGCAGCAAAACTCTACAGCCATCAAGGAAGGCAACCTCTACTTTTAAAGGAGCTGTCTGTACACCTGGAAGCAACATGCAATCTCCTCGTTGCTCTGCTGCAGCTTTAAAAAACTGACAAAAACCCTCGTAGTATTTGCTCTTATCTTGCTGCAGCACACACCCACAAACGAGGGTTCAGGGTTTAGGGTTTAGGGTTTAAAGGCTGGCAGCAACAAAGCAATAAGATAGAAAAGTAAAACCCTCGAGAAGCCTTTAACTATAAACCCTTTATTATATTTATCATAGTATTATATTACATATATTGTATTACACGCATTATATAATAAATAAGCTGCTATGCATATAGTATATAATATATATTATATATTATATACATTTATATTATTTCATTTCATGCTATGTTATATCATTTGCAGCAACTGCCCCTGAATAACCCTAAGCCCTAATACTTCTACTAAAGCAGAGGCTGCTGCGCCCTGTAAACCCTAAACCCTAAGCCCTAACCCACCCCGTAAACCCTAAACCCTAAACCCTAAACCCTGATGTCGCTGCGGTGTTTAATTAGACAAGGGGGGTTAGCTAACCATGAGATTTCTGAATATTTCTGTCTTCCCTCCGTTGTCTTTAAATTTAAACTCTGCAACATTTCTATGAGGCCTGAAGAAAGCCAAAGCCCCTTCAACTGGGGTGTAACTCCAAACAAGAAATAAGGTGCCGTTGCTAGCAGCATCAAACGTTAAGTATCCTCCTTTAGTAGAAGAAGCTGCTTCTGCTGCTGGTGCTGCTGCTGCTGGTGCTGCTGCTGCTGGTGATGCTGGGGCTGGTGATGCTGGGGGTGCTGCTGATGATGATGCGGGTTCTGCTGCTCCTCCTGCTGCTGCTTTTGCTGCTGCTGCTGGCGAGCTGTTTTCTGCAGCTGCAAGAGAAGGAGGTGTGTCGGTGGACCGCACCCACTTCTTCTTTTTAAAGATATCCAAGAAACCCATTGCTGCTGCTGTTGTTGCTGTTGTTGCCGCTGTTCTTGCTGCTGCTGTTGCTGTTGCTGTTGCTGTTGTTGCTGCTGTTGCTGTTGCTGCTGTTGCTGTTGCTGGCACTGCTTGAGGAGCCGCTTGTCTCACTGCTGTTGCTGTTGGCCGCACACCTGTTGGTAATGTGATGCTGTTGTTGCTGCTGCTCTCCTTATTGCTGCTGTTGGTGCTTTTGTTGCTGTTGCTGCTGTTGCTGCTGCTGTTGCTGCTGCTGCTGGTTGGCTGTCCAGCTGTTCGTATTGCCGTATGCGCAGCGCCTCAAGCGGTGGTGTGAATATACACTTCAGCAATAAGGGTCTGCTGTGTTGTAAATTAATTTCAGATTTGCTGCTGTTAGTACACTGCAAGCCAGTGAAGGCTGAAGAGGAAAAAATATGAGTGTAAGTCAACAGGGGGTGAGAAGGGGGGAGCAAATCTGCAGGCGGAGGGCTTCTACGCACTATTGAAATATTCGCAATGAATTTCTTTTATTATTGTTTGTTTATTTACCACTTAAAGAAACAAAAATGATGCAGAGAAGGGCGAAAACAGTGGACGGGTTTCAGTCAATGAGCGAAGCGAAAAGAAAAAAGCAAGAGCAAGAAAAGGCGTCGATTTGTCGGTAAAAGTGAGGGAAAGCTGCGTAATAAAGACTGAAATAGGGAATAAATAGAACTCAGCAGAAAATTAGCAGTTTATTGATATATTTATTGCATAAATTCATTCATAATTTACTAATAAACAACGCGCATACCTAAGCTATCTATCTGTACACCCCAATCGAAGCAGTATTCAATACGCACATTAAACGGACCTCTCAGTTGTTTTCTTCTGGGAAAACATTAGATAAAAATAAATATTTATTATTTTATTAGTATTTTATTTCTTATTTTACCTTCGTTCCCGCTGCTTTCAACGCCTCTTTCTTCTTCCCCTTCATTATACACACTGTCAGAAGTAGAAGTTAACAGCCGTCGAAGCACTCAACTCTCATTATTATTTATTTTTAATCAAACAAAACATCTAAATAAATACGCCCACATAGGTATTCAGATCTAAACAGCAGCCAACACAACATAAAGAAGTAATAATTACTTAACAAATACTCACCGAGACCAACAGACAGACAGTCGAGCTGCTGCAGCAGCAAAACTGTTGTTTGCTGCAGCAGCAACTGCTGCTGCTGCTGTTGTTGCAGTCGTGCTTCTGCACCTATTTTTGCTGCGTGGCGTCTGCCGCTGCTGCAGCAACAGCTGCTGCTGTTGTCATGCTTCTTCGTCTCCTGCTGCTGTTACTGCTGCGGCATCAAGCATTGTAGCTAGCTCTAGACAGCTAGTAGCTAGCTATTTACGTTTCGTGGCTGGCTATAATCGGAGGATGGCTAGCTGCAAGCCGTGTAGCTAGCTGTAAGGGGGGGGTAGACACCCTCCCCTTCAACCAAGAAGAGACGCGGCACTAAACCCTAAACCCTAAACCCTAAACCCTAAGCTCCAAAGCCTAAACCCCAAGCTTCCAACCCTAAATCCCAAACCCTAGACTCTAAACCCTAAACCCTAAACCCTAGACCCCAAACCCTAAACCCTAAACCCTAGAGTGCATATAATAAATAATATGCGTTGAGAGCCAAAGAAGTTGTGTTGCTGCAGTAAACAATTAATTGTTTGTTTTAAGACATGTAGGGATTTTCTTCTTCCTCAGAGAGCAGGAGTTGTTGGGCATGTTGAGGGTTTAGGGTTTCATTGCTGGTTAGGGCTTGCTGCTGCTGCTGCTGCTGCTGCTGCTGCTGCTGCTGGGGGAGTTGCTGCGCAGCTTCTCGCTGCTGCTGGTGCAGCGCTATGAGCTTCTCTGCATGGCTCATGAGTCTGAACTGTCTCATAAAGAGTAATCGAGAGTAAGACAACAAAGCAGCAAAACTAATGCGTCCCTCTTCATACAGCTCGCTCAACTCAGACAACGGGCATTCAGGCCACGCCCCCACCACTGCCACACACACGCAAATCAAACACAGTAACAAAATAGCTAGCTAGCTAGCTAGCTATCTACCTAGCTGGCTGGCTAGCTAGCTGGCTAGCTAGCCACACAGATAGCTAGCTGGCTAGCTAGCTGGCTAGGTAGCTAGCTAGCTTGCCACATAGATAGCTACCTAGCTAGCGAAGCAGCTAGCTAGCCAGATCGATATCGAGTTATGTACATAGGTAGGCGGCTAGTCAGATAGGCAGGTAGCTAGCCAGTTGTGTGGTTATGGAGCTATCTAGCTAGTTACCTGGCTAGCTAGCCAGCTAGCCAGCTAACTCTAAGCAGCTACCTATCTAGCGAGTTGAGGGGTTATAAACATCTTTCTGTACTGCCGCTATATGTCCAACCCTAAACCCTAAACCCTAAACCCTAAACCCTTTTTTGTGTTAGTTTTCTTACCTTGGCAGTTTTGCTGCTGAAAGGAGATGTCTAAGAAGGCAATTAATGACGGCAACTCCTTGCACAAATATAAAAAACAAATTCGAGTAAAAGACGCCCCTGAAACGCACCAAACCCTAAACCCTAAACCCTAAACCCTAAACCCTAATCACCGAGGCCTGCATAGAAACAGTATATCGGCGCATCATTACACCTCCATTTGCTGCTTCTGCTGCTTCTGCTGCTTCTGCTGCAGCTCTCTCTGCTGCTGCTTCTGCTGCTTCTGCTGCTTCTGCTGCAGCTCTCTCTGCTGCTGCTGCGGCTGCTGCTGCTGCTGCTGTTAATACCTGGGGGGTGTAGGAGTTGGATAGCATGTGTATATTTATAAGAGTAAATTTTTGTCAGCCATTCCTTCTTTGCATGTTTGCCTTGTGAAGACACAATGAGGTACTCTGCGTAAAAAGAATAAAAATAATATTAATATATAAATAAATAAAATAAATAAATAAATATATTTTAACTTCTTTTTATAATCAAATTAAAACACTTAAAGGAATATATTTATAATTTATTTATTTATTTATTTATTTATTATAAATTTAACAACAATAAAGATATTTACATACAAACAAAAGACAGAAAAAAGAATATAAATATATTAAAAAAAATAAATAAAACACAAAACAAACAAAGTAAAAACAAATAAAAATAAATAAAAATAAATAAATAAATAACAACAAACGGAGAAAACAAACAAAGACATAAATATATAAATATAAAAAATATATAAATAAACGCAAAGACAAACATAAACAAAAACATTAAAAATATAAATATATAAACATAAAGACGAAGACGAACGAACGAAAACATAAAGAAAAAAACATTAAAACAAATACAAACATAAAGACAAAGACAAAGACAAAGAAAGCCAAATAATAATTAGGGTTTAGGGTTTAGGGTTTAGGGTTGCGAGGCAAACATGAAAAATAAC